AAATCAATACCTAATTCCCTTGTTATACACCATATTCATTAGAATAGAAAATTTAGCTTTCATCACAAAAATTATGACATTTTGTAGTGAGCTGAAGGACCAATTATCCAATTATATTTGCAATACGTCAGGCCTCTTTACATAAAGTAACTGAAGCAGGACTCACCAAATATTCTTCTGTGCCATACAGAGAAACAAACTGCTCGTCATCTTCCAATTCTCTAGCTGCACCGAAGTCTGTGAGTTTGTACACAGACTGCCCGTCCTCCCCTATAACACGCATGATGTTCCCCGGCTTGATGTCACGGTGCACTATGCCGTTCTCTCGGAGGTGATTCATTCCACCCACTTCAAAAACAAGAAATCATAATGTAGGTATCTATGTGTACGTCCAAATTCACTGATACACCATATTTACTCAAACTTCAAAGTTTTTTCATAATTTGGTTTAGTCGTTTTACTCAAGTTAATAGGTAATAGATATATACTATATCTCATGTTTCAATTATAAGGAGTTTTAGGATAAAAATCAATATGATCTAAAAGTCCAATCTCTCTTAAATACTATTGTGAAAATTTAACAAAATGGTCATAAGCATTTTCTTGAATTACTTTTGGTTCTATGTATATGTGGACAATTTGTTTAAATATAAGAATAGTAAAAACTCCTAAGACAGCAATCTTTCATCATCGTTTTAAATTTCATTACCTTAGGGAAAAAATTCCACAAGAAGTAAAACTGAAGGCAATATATATTATATAATATAAAATAACAGAAAGACAAAAAAGTGTCTTGTTTCTATACAAATGTATTTCTCATATGCTTAGAATTAACTCCAAAAAGCCCATTTTCTTTTTTTTCTTGAATGGCAAAGTGGCTAAATTACTGAAATTAAGCCGTTCTGACCAACTGACAGGCAGTGTCTCAGACTAATAACGTGAAACATCTATTTGATAGCTCACTGATTAATGTTCGAATAAAAAGATAAAAAAAGATTAGAGATATCAATGTATGATTATTAAAACTCAGGTTTAACTTACAAAGTCATTAATTATCTATAATTTTTATTGGATTAAGCAGGCTACAGCATACTTTTATTTCTATTTCTCACTTGTAAATTATCTCTACTTTGATTCTAGTGTCAAGTTAACAAATTCCCACTAATGGCCTGCAGAATGGCTCACGCCTGTGATCCCAGCACTCTGGGAGCCCGAGGAAGGAGATCACTTGAGCTGAGGAGTTCAAGATCAGCCTGAACAAGAGACCCGATGGCTACTAAAAATAGAAAACTTAGACAATATTGTGGTAGGGGCCTGTAGCCCCAGCTACTTGGGAGGCTGAAGCAGGAGGATCACTGGAATCCAGGATTTTGAGGTTGCTGTAAGCTGTGACGCCATAGCACTCTACCCAGCCATAGCACTCTACCCAGCATGACAATGTAAGGCTCTTGTCTCAAAAAAAAAAAAAGAATTCCCATTAATCTGATAGCTTTCCTTATCATCGGCCTTTTTCCATCCCTCAAATATTTGATTTTTCTTTCCTAGAAGATACTTCCGTTGTCTTATTTAAAAATAGGTTTATTGCTATAATTCATACAACACTCAGCTTTTTAAAGGGTACAACCTGTAACTGTTAGTATAGTCACAGAGTTGCACAACTATCACCACTAACTTCAGAACATTTTCATTCCAAAAAGAAACTCACACTCCCTGGCACTCTCTCCCCAGCTACAGCTTCCCGACCCTCAACAACCACGAATGTGGTCTCCGTCCCTGTGGACCAGCCTGGTCAGGACATTTCACACAAACGGAATCACAGGATTCCATTGTCTTCTGCCTGGCTTCTTTCACTGTGTAAGGTTCATCCATGTTGTAGCATATGTCACTACTTAATTTCTTTTTATGAATAAATAATATTCCATTATATGGATATACCACATTTTTGTTTACCCACTTCTCAGGGGAGGGACATCTGGGCTATTTTCATTTTTGGTTGCTATCAATAATGCTGCTAAGAACACTGGAATACAAGTGCTTATGTTGACTATTTTACTGGATACACATCCAGCAGTGAACTGCTGGATCATATGGTAACTTTATATTTAAACTTTTGAGGAACTATCAGACTATTTTTCTAAAGTGGCTGTATCATTTTACAATCCTACCAGCAACACATGAGAGTTATAATTCCTCCACATCCTTGCCAACATCTGTTTTTGTTTGCCTCTTTGGTTTAGCCCTCAGACGGTACAGAGTGGATTTCACTGTGGTCCTGGTCAGCACGTCCCCGCTGACAAAACAGGGCCAGGCACCTTTTTATGTACTTCTTGGTCCCCTGTGTATCTTCTTTGGAGAAATGTCTATTCAAATCCTTTGGCCTGTTTGGTCAATAAATTGGGTTGTCTTTTTATTATTGAGTTGTCTACTTCAAAATTCCTTATCTATACATGATTTGCAAATATTTTCTCTCATATTATGGGCTATCTTTTCACTTACTTGATGTCCTTTAAAGTATGGAAGTTTTTAATGTTGACAGAGTTTTCTTTGGCTTTTTGTTCCACATCTGAGAAAGCACTGCATAAAGGTCTTTAGATTGACTATGACAACTTTTTCTCATTCTATTATTAAGTGTTATCTATGTATAAATAAACAAACATACCCACATCTCGCAAAACAATTAAAAACTCAGATTCTGGTAGTCCATAGGCATTAGATGGCTCTTCTAAAACAGTGTATAAACTCCCACATGGACAAAATTCCATAATAAGAACTTTATGTCTTGTTGTTGTCTGAAAAATAAAATCACTGATTAGGAATCAACATAAAAAACAAGTTTGGATTCTATGCAAGTACTTACCTGATTTCATTTAAATGCAGGATTTGCTATAATGCTAGAGGCACTTTAAATGCTTCACCTGGGATTCAATAACTATCTGTTGACTATACACATAAGAGAATTAACACCCTCTAAATTCCTAGTGAGAAGGTTGAATTTCTTTTTGAAGACAAACCACAGTAAAAACTGGCTAAATCTAAACTATAAAATCATCACTACAATGTTAGTGGTTCTGTCAAGATTGTCTTAATTTTCTTGTGCATAATAACATGTTTAGGACAGTGGGTCTTCTAACAAGTCTCTTAAACGGAAATCTTTCTTATGATAGATAGCACTTTTACTTCAGGGAATAGAATTCTATTCTTAAAAATAAACAAGTGCAGAACAGTTGAGGGGTTCCTCTTGAAGCAAGGTTCCAGCCTGTTCATTTGCGTCTGAGCTGCTGATTTGCTTTAACCTCGATTTTTTTTTTTTAGACAAAGTCTTGCTGGTTGTCTAGGTTAGAGCACAGTGGTGTCACAGCTCACTACAACCTCAAACTCCCAGGTTCAAGCAATTCTCCAGTCTCAGCCTCCAGAGTAGCTGGTGCCCACCACACCCAGCTAATTTTTTTAGTTTTTGTAGAGATGGAGTCTTGCTTTATTCCTCAAGCTCATCTTGGGCTCCTATCCTCAAGTGACCTTCCCTGCCTTGGCTTCCCAAAGTGCTTGAATTACAAACGTGAACCACTGCACCCAGTCATTTTAAACCTTAATTTTTATTTGTATTTTTTAGACAGAGCCTCAAGCTATCCCCCTGGGTAGAGTGCGGTGGCATCACAGCTCACAGCAACCTCCAACTCCTGGGCTCAAGTGAGTCTCCTGCCTCAGCCTCCCAAGTAGCTGGGACCACAGGTACCCATTACAACGCCCAGCTATTTTTTGGTTGCAGCCGTTATTGTTTTGGTGGGCCCAGGCTGGATTCAAACCTGCCACCTTAGGTGTATGTGGCTGGCGCCTTAGCCACTTGAGCCACAGGCGCCGAGCCTTAAACCTTAATTTTAAAGCATCACTGATGATAAGATGCACCATCAATTTAGTAACAGTTTTATGGGGGAAAAATATCAAATTACATATATACAATGATTATAAGATGCATACCAATTTCAGAAACTTGAAAATGTGAATGTCTTAAAATCCACTATTGATCTTCAACTTTTTAATATTTTTTTCCTTTTATATTTTTCCTACATATCCCCTAAGCATTTTATAAAGTGTTTTGAGTTTCGTTACTATTCAGTAGTTATTAAAAAAAAGAAGTCACCATAGTGACTATTTTTAACTTTACAGTGTATCTTCTCAATCATAATAACTATAGTAAATAATTATTTACTACTGGCAAGATTAACTAAAGCATGACTACTTACCTCTTCTTCAATAGCAAATAATTTGACAATATTTTTGTGATTGAGTTTTTTTAATACTTCAAATTCTCTCATTTGAACATCCACTGGACGGAGAAAGCTTATATTATTAAATACTTTGATAGCAAATAAATCACCGGTTTTCTAAAAAAAAAAA